TTAATTTGTGCTTTTAGAGATGGGATTCAGGGATTATAAATGATGCTTAAATTATATCCAAGATAAAGTGCATTTTCCTGGAAGAGGGTCTATTGCTTTTGTTAGATTCGCCAAGAGACAAGGAATTAAAAGGCTTAAGAACTTTGGTATTATGGCCCATCATCCTTGAATTCAGAGAAAACTGCATAGACAGTAACGAAAGGCTCACAAGAATCAGGAGAGCAGAGGCAGATTTGTACTGCTGGTAAGAGATGGGTTGTAAATAAATCTCAGCAGGTCTGGCAGTGGTTCTCAGCCTTGGCTATGCTTCAGAACTTCCTGGAGAATTTACAAAAACTCTGTGCTGAGAAAAATGCCTAGATGAGTTGAATGAGACCCACATTGGTATCTGGGTTGGTGGTGGTTGTGTGTGTGTGTGTGTGTGTGTGTGTGTGTGTGTGTGTGACTTAAGGACTGTCATCAAGAGAACTTTAACCAGATTCACCCAGAGAGTTTGTTTCTCACCTTCGGTTCTGCAGTTCCAGAACAGATCAGCTCATAACTCCTCCAGACAAACATTCTCTTCCCTCCAAGTGGATAGGGTCAGACAATTTATATCTCTAAAAAAAGTTACTTTGGAGAATAATTACTTGGGGTGGAATTACAATTCGGTGTTTACTCACAGACACCAATGTTGTACCTGCTCTTGATTTGTGGGATAACATCAGAAGCATGCTTGAGAATAATCTTGAATGATGTTTACTAAGCACTGGGATGTTTCCTGCTGAATAAACATCCTCATCATCATGTTGAGGCTTAACTAATATTTTGAATACCAGGGACTTTTTCCTATTCCCCAAGAGTTTCTTTTTCTTTTGTCTTGTTAATTTTTTCTTTTTTATTTTTCTAATTTTATCCCAAATTTTTTACCACTTCATTTCATCCCCTTACTTCTAGTCATAATCCCTTCTATTATAACTATCTCTACAAATTACTTATATAAGCTAATTATTCCAGGAAGAATTCATTTAGAAAAGCATTTATTTTTAAGATTGCCATTCTCTTTGCAGCCTATAAAACATTATTATAATTAAGAGTAGGCATTATTTAATTTTGATTAGTGATCTAAAAAGTAATCTGCAGAAATGCAAAATATCCAAAATCAGGACACAGTCTGAAATGCAAGTCATGTTAGCAATATACTATGGTAAAATATTTAAAAGAGGTTTATTATCTAGCTATTTTTAGTCTTTATCTTAATTATTTAAAAACCTATTTTTCAAAGCATTAAATAATGCTTCTTGCAGACTCTCCTTTGGTTTCCAACGTAAATAGGCCTTAACTCCTCTTATAGATAACAAAAGCTTGAAATTAACTGCTCCCATTTCCATACTCATTCCAACTTTCCTTCTGGCTCCCCAGTATATATCTTAAGTTCCTGATCTTTCTTCCAAACTCTGCCAGCTAGATTCTGCATTTGTTTTATTTTTAATTATCCTTTTCCCAGGGAATAAGGATTCTTTTTTTTTTAAAGGAAGAAATAACAAACAAGACAAGCTTTATGATGGAAAGCATATCGATCACTGGAATTTAGTACAGGAATTTGTCTGCCAGTTACTGATGGCCAGTTTAAGAACTCAATGACTGTCAGATGGCTTATGTGACAGGTCTAGAAAGCCTGAGAACCCTCATTTCCAGAGTGAGTCTTTAGTCTTGAGGCTCTGGATGCTTGAGGAACTATAGCAGCCTCTCTCAGACCTGTCCTGGCCACCATGGAAATAGATCAGGAGAAAACCACAGACTTAGGAGCACAGAGCCCTGGTGCAAATCCCCTCTCTGCCACTTAATGCTTTGTGATCTCCATACAGGTCACAATTTCTGTGAAGCTCAGTTTCTCATCTGTGAAATGTGATTCCTCATATCTAATCCTAAGGATGTTATAAAAGATTAAGTTCATGTACATACGATCTATGGCTAGTGAGTGGCATTCAATAAACAGAAGTGATCACATTCCCAGAGTCTATCTCACAGAATTTTCTTTCGGCAAATAAAAACTGACTCAAATACCTTTGAGAACACTTTTTTATGTAATTATATTTCCTAATATTTTATAAATCAATAACTGATATTTATTGAATATCTCCATGATACCAGGGCTGCCTGGTTCCTTAATCCAAGCTCTTTCAAGTATTCACCGTGTGACATGAGCAATTCACTTAATTCTTTGTGCCTTTTCCACATCGGTAAAATGGGTATAATAATAGTACCTACATTGCAGGGACTGAGGATAGAGTAGTGAACAAGACAGACCCAGACTTGCTGGTTGTGAGTTTCATGGGTAATAAAACCAAGAGGCATACTTCCTTTCTCTTCAATTGTTTCAGAAATAATCACAATAAGCCCCATGAGTCCAAAATATCACAAAGTAAATTACTCCTTTTAGACAATAAAAGGCCAGATATACTCAATGCTAACTATAGTAATCATTTATATATTAATTAAATTAATCTTCACAATAATCCTATGATGTAGGGACATTTAAGAAACGGGATCTCACTATCTTGCCCAATCTGGTCTCAAACTCCAGGCCTGAAGTGATCCATCTGCCTCATCCTCTCAAAATGCTGGAATTACAGGTATGAACCTCTGTGCCTGGTCTATGGATACTATTATTACTGTTGTTTTCCAGATAAGGAAAATAAGGCATAAGGAGTTAAGTGATTTGCTTTAAGCATTCTGTGAATACAAGCAGAGTTTGGACTACAGACCCGGGCATGTGGCTGCAGAGCCCTCCCTCTTAACCTTTGTTCTGCATGACAGGTGGAGTGAGGTTGGGAGCCAGCCTCATCTTCTTGACCTTCAGATCATGTAGGATGTAAAGGCATGCTTTGCCAGATGCCCCAGACACAGTTGGGACAAATGTCCATGGGTTCTTGGAGAAAGAGGACTGGAGACAAATAATTGCTATCAGTTAAGATCTAAAACTCTCCAACAAGCTGGGAAAGGTAGGCAGAGGGTTCCCCTTCTACTCCTTGCGAAAGGTTTCATGTGTAAAAAGGACTCACTCTGAGATGTACCAGTTTGTTCCAAAAGCTTAAATTACCTTTCTGGGGAGATGGATTTTATCAACAAACAGTAGGCTAAATGAATGTTTTTTTTTTACTGGGGATATAACAAAAAGGGTTGGGCACGGTACTCACACCTGTAGTCCTAGCACTTTGGGAGGCCAAAGCAGGATGATCACTTGGCCCTAGGAATTTAAGACCAGTCTGGTCAACATAGGGAGACCCCATCTCTACAAAAAAAAAAAAAATTGAAAGAATTAGCCAGGCATAGTGGTGCACATCTGTAGTCTCAACTGCTCAGGAAGCTGAGGCAGGAGGATCACTTGAGTCCAGGAGGTCGAGGCTGCAGTGAACTACAATCACACCACTGAACTCCAGTTTAAGTGACAGAGAGAAACCCTGTCTTCAAATAGCTATATATTTCATATACATATGAAAGTAGCAGGGTCTCTTCACTGTGAATTTAATACATGAATTTTTTCTCTGCAGTTGAGGGATTGGGGGTTTGGACTGAAAGATCAAACAAGAAAGAATACATGATCTCCATCCAAGGAACCTAGCAATAAACCCAAGAAGAATGGCTGTGAAGAGAGGACCACCACCCACACTTTGGGCCACACAAGGTCCTGTCTTGACTGTCAAACCCATGCCACCTCCATACAGATGGCACCCATTCTATAATGTAATACTGCTGCCCTGGCCATTGATAGCTGATCCCCAACAACACAAAGTTTTCAAGGCTGATCAGCAGTTCTCCTGGGGGCCTGGCAGAAAGTTTTGCCAGGAAGAAAGCTCCACATGAAACAGCAATTGATAAGCCCAATGGGATTTCCTTTCTTAGGGAGTTTGTACATGGCACATACATAGGAAATTAGAGCAGGCAATGCAAAAGTGAAAACGGAGACACACAGAGAAACCAGAACATAGAGAGGAGTTAGCTATTAGCTACAAGTGCAGATAAAAAAGACAGACTGTGGCTGAGATGCCCTAACCAAGGAGCACCCAAGCTATGATCTCCAAGGTGGGGTTCACAAAATGATCCCTTGTGAGATTAGAAGAAAATATCATAACTCCTATTTACATTGACTTTTTTATCTCATTGCTTTTATCTTATTTGTGTTCATTTAATATGTGTGTGTGAGTGTATATGAAGGAGCATGCTCAAAGTTTTTCGCTGTTGGAATACAGGATCAAAACCCATTTGGAGGCATCTGCAGAAATGCATAGAAAGCAGTAGGCCCTCATTTGTGCAAAGCCAGCCACTACAATGGTGTTGCATCCTGAAAATGTTCCTGGCCATCTCGGGGCACAGGACTGGAGCTGCTAAGATAGTGCTGTGCCCTCTTTCCTCCCTACATGTACTTAATGTCAAAGCCCCACTAACGAGGTGTCCAAGTATGTTTCTGGATATAGCCCAACCAGTGCAGTTGGAGGGTGACCAATTCTTTTTTTTTTTTTTTTTTTTTTGAGACAGGGTCTTACTCTGTCACCCAGGCTATGGTGCAGTGGCACCATTTCAGCTCACTGCAACCTCTACCTTCTAGGCTCAAGCAGTCCTCCCGCTTCAGCCTCCCAAGTAGCTGGTATTACAAGCATACACCATCATTCCCAGCTAATTTTTATATTTGTAGTAGAGATGGGGTTTTGCCATGTTAGCCAGGCTGGTCTAGAAACCCTGACCTCAGGTGATCCACCTGCCTCAGCCTCCCAAAGTGCTAGGATTACAGGCGTGAGCCACCACTTCTGGCCATGGTGACCAATTCTGATCTATCCTGTCACAAGGGCAACGGCGAAGTAATTTGAGAGGCTAAGGAAAGGGGAGATAGGAGACACAAATCTCAAAGGAAAACCCGAGACTTGGGAGGATCCAAGATGGCCGTTTAGGAACAGCTCAGGATTGCAGCTTCCAGTGAAAGCGCAGAGGGTGAGTGGACGCCGCGTTTTTATTGCCCACAGACTAGGAAATTCCCGGGCAGAGGTGCTCCACGGTCACCAGCGCGGCTGTTTCGGCCAGCACGGCTGTGCTGGCCGGCACCGCTGCCTTGCCCCACGTGGCTGCTTTGTCGGCGCCCCAGAGCCGCGGTTCTCCTTACAAAATACGCTGGTCCGGGGGCCCTTTAGGCTGGCGATTGGAGCCACGGGAAGTCGCCCGTACGCCGGCTCAAAAAGGGGACTGAGCAGAGAACCAGGACAGTAGATTCCAGGGGAAAAAAA